CCTCAGAAGACATTCTGACGAACGAACAGTAAGACTGGTGTGGCAGGAAGTCCCAACTGGAAGGAGACCACGCGGACGCCCTCGTCTCCGGTGGCGAGATAATATAGCAGGAGACCTAAGCACTATGGGCGTGGAGAATTGGATGGAGGTTGCTCAAGACAGAAAACAGTGGAGGCATGTTGTCGAGTCGGCTAAAACCCACGAAGGGTTGTAACGCCACGGAGTAAGTAAGTAAGTAAGTACCAATATGGTTTTTGTTTTGCGCGTCTTTGAGTGCCTATTGCCTCTTCTGCTGCTTCTTTAATACTGTGTACTATGTGCTTGTATTCTTCTTCTATTGTTCTATTTTCTATTACCAGTTTTCCATCTAACCTTCTTTGGTATAAATACTGCACGCTGTTATCCTTTACTTTAAGTTGTTCTAATATCGATACGCTATTGCAATTCTCAACATGCGGCGATATACCCACATTTCAAAAGCGTTCAGTTTATTTTTATCCGCTGTTTTTAAGGTCCACGTTTCGGATGCATATGTGGCTATGGGAAAAATAAGCGCCCTTACCAGCCTTAGTTTTGTGTGTATTGTTATGCTAGAATTTTTCAAAATCCGTTAATCAATACAACCTACAAAGTTATATCCATACTGTCTAGAAGGCTAAGTCCATACGCAGAAGAAATAATAGGCGACTGTCAAAGCGGATTCAGACCGGGAAGGTCGACCATAGATCAGATATTCTTTCTACGCCAGGTATTGGAAAAAAACTAGGAATGTACACCTCGATGTACACCAAATCTTCGTGTACTTTAAACAAGCTTACGATTCTGTTAGCAGAGAAACATTGTGGGAGACCATGGTAGAAATAGGAGTACCTGGAAAGCTGGTACGATTAGCACAGGTGAGCACAGAGAACGCTTCTGCACGGATCAGAATTGGCAGCACCACGTTGGGGAATTTCTCATTGTCACCGGGCTTAGACAAGGAGATCCTCTCGCCCCCCTGCTATTTAATTTTGCACTGGAACATGCTCGTAAGAAAAGCTCAACCACAACTGACAAACGGATTTGAGGCCCAAGGATCAAAAATACTATTGGCGTTTGCGGATGACGTGGACACAACTACACAATCCACCAGAGATGCAAAAGAAGTTTTCACCCTATTCGAAAACGGAGCCAAGGAAGTTGGTCTGAAGGTCAACGAGGACAAGACCAAGTACATGGTGGTTACGAAGAACCCAAGGGCAATGAATAAAACTTTGAAGTTGTCAAAGAATTCAAGTACCTGCGAGCGATCATAACATCTGAAAATAAATATGAAAATGACGTGGCAGCCAGGATCATTGCAGGAAACAGGGCATATTACTCATTAATGACCCTACTTAAATCAAAAATACTCTCAATATCAGCAAAAATAAGAGTGTATAAGGCAATTATTCGTCCTACAATAACGTATGGATAGAGATATGGACTCTGAACCAGTGGAAAAAGACAAAATTACTTTTACTGGAAAGAAAGATACTGCGGACTATCTAGGGGAATTGCAGAGAAGAGACAACAGGAGAATAGAGAAGAAGACACAATGATGAACGTTTCTTTTTCTTTCTCATTTTTCTCTAAAGAGATGATATAACCAAAACTGGTGGAACATTTGGTGGGAGAACTTTAGAGCGCTATAAACGAAAAGACTTTGGGCAGGCGTATATCTAGGAATGAAGGAAATGATAATGATGATTTACGTCCAATATCATATTTTATGGCTTTCACAAAAGGCACGCATCTATCTAATTAGCCTTCTTCGGTCCATCTTTGGACATAGGCCTCCCCAATCCTTTTTCATTCTTCTCTGTCTGTCGCTACAGTCATCCATCTAGAGCCCACGTGCTTCTTGATATCATCTGCCCATCTCATTTGGGGCCTTCCTCTGCTTCGTTTATATTCCCACGGTCTCCAACTTATAAGAATTTTGTTCCATCGGTTTTCTTTTTGTCTTATATTGTGTCCGGCAAATCTCCATTTCAATTTTGTAACTTCTTGTCTAACATCCCTCACTTTTGTTTTCTCTCTTATCCACTCGTTTCTCTTCTTATCCATTAGTCTTATGTGCAACATTTGTCTTTCCATTGCTCTTTGGGTTTTTATGATTTTGTCCAAGCATTAAAGGCACGCATATTTCATATAAATTTAATCTTATCATAAACGATCTCTATTCGTTATTAGGATCCACTTTCAGTTGTTTATAATTAGCCATACAACTGTATTAAGATTAATATTTTTATCAAACAGTATTGGAATAGCTACGCTTTTGTTTTCGTAAAATTTAGATAATTTTAATCAAATCATTATACACAACTTACCTTAATTGTATGACTCATAAGATAAATATTTAAGTAGGTGCTTTGTAGCGAATTATATTGATTATAAATAAAAACTCATCGTTCATAAATAATGGGATTTTACTTGTCAACGAAATTAATAATATTATATTTCATTATTACATTATATAAATAACATTCCAAAATAAATCGGCTTTTATTAATTTCTTTTTGGAATATCTTCTTTTTGGCTTCAACACATTTCAAACGTTTATACCATCATTATAATTGCTCACTCCTGAAGAAGAATCAGCTTCCGTATGTTTGACACGTTTTACATACTCATATTTAAACAATTAGGGGAAAGGGGGGTAAGTTGGCGAACTTAATGTTAATATCCAAATTACTCTTCTTTTTCCAAATTAAAAATATTTATTAATTGATATTTTGAACTCTAGTAGTCACAGTAATCAACCTACAAAATATCATAGCTATAGCCAAACTTATTTTTGCCCTATAATTTTTTTAAATATGCAATCTTCGTCATTTTACCCACAAGCGTTGATAAGTTGACGAACTTTATCGGGTAAGTTGGCGAAAGAAAAATAACTAATTAAAAAGTATAACTTAAAATCAAAAAACAAATTCTAACATAAAAAATGTATAAGATATAAATGAAAAACTACTTTAATTAAGTACTAAACAGTTATAAGCTAGCAAAATCAGTTTTTTTTTCTGTCTAATTGTAACAAAAGTCGCACACCCATACTTTGGACTTCGCTTCTTCGCTTCGCTTCGTTTAGACCAGTGCATTCAGAAGGAGCCTATTTAGAGCAAGTGTCGCATTGAAACCATTGAAACTCGTTGTTTTCGCCTTCTTCATTGCAAATCAAACATACTTTGTCGCCTTCTTCATTCTCTGGATCTATATCGTTATCAGTCATGATAAGGTATTTCTACTGAAGTCTCTGAAGAAGAAGAATCAAATAACTGTCG